GACCCGTACATTATTTAGCACTTTTAGATTTTACATATGTATTGGTTTAATGGAGCACAATTCAACAGCATAGAGTTCACCCTGTGAAACAAAATAAGATCAGCAATCATGAAATGGAATTGTCCAAAATATCTTGCTATGCAATTCTATGCTTCCAACTTTGTGGGAACAGACTGAGGAAGGACATTTTTTCCATTTTCCATGACTTTTCTATGACTGAAAAATGCATTTTTAAAAATCCAAGTTTTCCTGATTTTCCAGGATGTGTGGGAACCCTGGAGATGCTCATGAATAACAGCATAATGATTTATTAGTGGTCACCAACCGACGGATCACAATCAACAGATCAGTGATAAAGACATTCATAATCGATCACAGTCTACTGAAGGGGACCCACCCCAAGTTGACAAAATATATTTGTAAAAGTAGCTCTCAATGTAAAAAGGTTGGCGGCCACTAATTTATATGAATATCAATCAAAAGCAAGACAAACAGGAGTTTCATTCACAAGAGAAGCTGTAAATACTCATTTACTAGTCAACTGTCATTCAGCAATACAGAATAAATAGAATCATCAGTATGCCTTAACGGACTTCAGTTATATAACTTAATTAATGGTGCAAACCATGGTGGGTTAAAACAAAAACATATATGTGGTAAACGCATTCTCATACTAACCTCAGTCCCTCCAGCTGCACGAAGCAGCCAAACTGCATGATGCTGGTAACCTTGCCATTGTAGATGTCCCCCACTGTGGGTTCTTCTGGGGGGGGACGGTCTACGTGTCTGTCCTTCCAGCGGTCCGAGCCCTTGTCCTTGTCCTTGTCCTTGTCCTTCTCCCAGCGCGGGCTTGCAGAACGGCTGCGGGACCTCCAGCGTGACGAGCGCCCCCTGCCTCGGTCACGGGAGCGAGATCTGGACCGTGAGCGGCGATGCCTCCTTTTGTCTCTGTCCCATTCGCGTTCACGGTCACGCACGCGGTCACGGTCCCGGTCCCGGTCCCGACTCCGGCTTCTGCTCCTCTTCCTCCTTTTACCACTTTCATCATGTCTAAGTAAGAACAGAACAAAGAATGAAAACAGGAGAAGTTGAATGAAGACAATAACAAAAACACATATCACAAACAGAATATTGAAGTTTGACAGATCATGATGATATAAAATGGAAAGAAATGGCTATAGAGTTTCAATTGTGAACAGAACAGCTTCATTACGATGCTGACCTGTGTTTGCTTGACTTGGAGTCACTGCCGCTTACACTGGGCATAAACATTTCCAGCTCTTTCATGGCATCTGCAGCAACCTTGACATCATCCTCATCCAGCATGGTCTGTAAAGAACACAAGAATGCAGGCCGCTACCAAAGGCATCTTTATTTAGTCTGGTGTTGAATCATTACTTTTAAAAAGCTGCTTCTTCGGTGGAAGGGTGCAAGACATGTTTAACATATGGCCACAGAATGTTTTCATACAAACGGCTTACTCTTGTCATGGGATTGTCGGCCCGACAAAGAGCAGGAAATATCTCTTTCCACTTTTCCTTCTCATTCTTCGGTTTGACCACAGGCTCAGAGGCTGGGCACGGAACACAAAGGGAAATTCACATGGTAAGAATTTCTTACTGGCCTCAAATGTGTGCCAATTGATCATCAAGACATTCATAGTCAATCAGTTGGTAAAATCTACCGAGGGGTACAAGGTCCATAGAGACATATGTAATCAAACAGGCCTGATATGTAATTAATGATTACGGTAGAACAAGGCGCCCCATAAAAGAATTCTGGTAAGATAAAATACTTGAATTCTGATGTAAATATAGGGAGAAGACTTACCCTTGCTGGTAGACGGTTTTGCTGGGGGTCGCATAGTTTGGATCAGTCGTAGCAGATTGCTGACAAGAGAATCCTGGAATGACAAAGAACGGGCTCAGATCTCTTAGAACAGCGAGCGTCGCAGCTATGAGTACAGGCGCGTGGCATGGTAAACAAGTACAAAACTCACAGTGAACTCAGCTCCATTCTTCACCAACGCTGCCTTGAAACCATCAGACGTTGGATTCTTCTCGGCAAGGCTTATGACAAACTCGGCTTTTGAACAAAAAACGAAGAACGATTTCCCATAACACATTGCAACCAGAACCACGGGATTTTACATACAAAACAATACTCTTTGTACGATCGTATAAAAACCGATAACAATTATTACAGATATTAAATATGTATACATTTTAAAAGTTGTAACAAACAATACAGTTAAATAAAGAACAGAAACATTAAATAATATTAAGGGTTTGAATCGAAGGCAATTTGACTTCTTTTTCCTTGAAAACGTTTCCCCTCTCATCCGAAAGGCTTCTTCAGTTCAGACACATTACATAGCAAAAGTTCACATCCATTTACTTACCAAGATCTTTATCGCTTATTCCCAAATGATTGTCCAGTTCAGTGCACACTTTGGAAACCAAAGACAGGTATTCGAGCTGCTTGAGCTCATCTTCTCCGACGTCGACCATTTTTATGTCTTGTTTCACAAGCAGTCAAAATGACTGCTAGATATCGTTAGCAAGTTAGCTACAGTATATATTCCAGCCCACCAGTGGAGTCTAGGCCGATACTTTTTTAAAAACAGATAACCTTCAAATAAAATTTCAGAAGTCAATTTAAGTTTAAATGACCCTCAATAGAAATATTTTCTTGGTACTTCGCCAAAACCAAATAGTGCCATTTAGGACCATACTACTTATAAGAAAGCATACTGTCAACAGCCGCCATATTGGCTTATCGTAGACGTGACGTCGAACGTAATGGCGTCACCACGCTGCCGTTTTCCGTAGCGAGTCCAGCACGTGGTCGCTTTCCGAAATGTAACGGAAAGTCTGCTTTCATGTGTGCGGCGTGGCATGGAATAAGAAGCTGTCCCCACAAATGAACTGAACGTCAAAATATCTTTTACTTTTCAAGTTTACATCCACGCAAACAACTGGACGGCAAAACACCGTTTGTTTTTTAAGTTTCTATTCTAACCAAAGAACGAGACACCAAAATAACGTTTACTGTTCAAGTTTATATCCCAACGAAAGAACGGGATACCACAATACCGTCTACACTAAAAGTTTTTATTCCCACAAACAATGTAAAAATACTGTTAGGCCTACGTACAATGTATGTGCAGACTTGTGTCGAATAGAGAAACTTTAGCCAGCTGACTAAAGTTGGCAACCTTGCTGTAACTTAATAGGCGTCACCTTAGATATAAGCCTCGTTCAAATCGCATATGGATGTAGTGTTGAAGGTGTGCTTCCTGCAGCTACATAACATTGCAAAACTACAACGTTCCATACTAGAAAGGAACACTGAGAAACTAATACATGCTTTTGTATACAGTAGTTTTGACTACTGTAATGCTCAATTATATGGGAACATGCACATCACATTAAACACCTTGCAGTGTATTCAAAATGCAGCAGCTCAAATTATCACTAGGAGCAGGAAGTTGGAACACGTGACCCCTGGTCTTTGTTCCATGTACTGGCTTCCTGTTAGGCTCAGGACTGACTTCAAAGTTCTCCTGCTTACATATAAGGCACCTAGCTCCTGGTCTAGCACCTGCTTACCTAACAGAACTACTTCAAGTTTACAAGCCACATCGTCCACTCAGATCACAGAACAGACTTCCTGGCCATTCCACATATAAATAAAGCCATTTTGCTACAGGGCCCCTATATTGTGGAATGGTTTGCCCTATGTTCGGGATGCTGAATTGGTCTCGGTCTATAAATCTCAGTTGAAGACCTAATACAGTTTAGCTTACCCACAATGTAACACATAACACACCGTAACTATGGCTGCTGCTGTACATGCCATTTTTATCTACTATGCTTGTCCATTAGTGTGTCAATGCATATTCTGACCCCCCATGCTCTCTGCCTTCCTTCCCACATGTCCGGATGGTGCCCTCTCCCAAGTTGGAGTCCTGGTTCCCAGGGAAGGGTGACATCATGGATGTGACTTACAAACTGTAACATCGTGGGTGCAGACTTTGATCTGCCACCCTACACTGGCCGGTGTGGAGAACTGATTAATTGATGGACTTCAGCTTTGACCTTAACCACAGTTTACATCTTGCTTTCAGGAAGCAAGCCCACTCTATCTCTTTTTTATAACGTCAGCATGCTGAGCAGACAGTTGACCGTGGGCCCCCCAGAGGTCTTTTTTCTCCCTTCATGGTTGCTTTTGGGTCCTCTCCTCCATTGTCATCTAGCTTTCTTTCTTTCTTTCTTTCTTTCTTTCTTTCTTTCTTTCTTTCTTTCATGTCTTCCACTTTCCCTATTTTTTAATTATTCTGTATAAATGATGCAGGAATGTATCATAACACAACCCTGTAAAGCGCCTTGGGGTGACTCTGTTGTGAAAGGCGCTATAAAAATAAATAAATAAACAGAATGGTGTAGTTTTGGTCTCAACATTGGTAAGAACCAAAACAGCCCCGTACCCCCCGCCCCCCTAAACACACGGTACTCCCACAGTATTGGTAGGGACCCTCTATTATTCCATTTAATTAATAAAAGTGGGATATCTATGTCTGTCTTTTCCAGTGTTATTTGTGATATCAAGGCCGTAACTTTGGTTTGAACTTTGGGGGGTTGAGGTATCCATCCATTTAAGAGGTGACGTGATTGTTGGGGGGAGGTTAATGTTTATGCTATCGCTTGTGTATATAAAGCTTATTCTCATATGTCTCATAAGGTAATGACAAACCTGCAAATCCAGCATTTGTTTTTCTGACATCCCGGCACATGCCTCCTCTTTACCCCGACCTGCAGAACTGTCATAAACATTGAAATGAGTTGCGTTGTGAACCTGCGGTTGATTACTTTTCCTCAAGGACCCGGATTGTGCGTCTCAATAAATTGAAATTGAATTTGCGAACTGAAATTGAATTGGGAAAAGTGAATTTGTAAGTGTAGAGCGTCACATTTTCCAGGTAGGATAAATGCAGCTTCAAGTTATCGGAATTCAGATTCAAAATAATAAATTCAGATTCAGTTTTTTAATGCAACAACTGCAGATTCAAATATACACTATTCATATTCAGTTTCTAGTGGCGCAAATATCAGCCCATAGTTCATCGACGCCAGTGGGCAATGCTGCAGGGTCGGAGGGTCCGCTGTCTTATATCCACCTGCATATGGCACAGCTAGGGAGCAGTCATCAATTGGCTGACGCAAAAGTCTTAAACATGCACTATGCAGACAGTTTTCAAGAGAAATAATTTTAATACAAAGTCATAGACAACTTAGGCACTAATAAGTCAAGAGTGATCTAAGACGAGGGTCTTTGTAAAAGCTTACCAAAAGCTTAATTTAGCTAAGCTGTGGTGTGTGCTAGATGTTTTGACTAGCTGTAATTTGATTCAAGTTTGCTATTTTTAGATACACTTATGGTGCCAAAGATAAAGGGTACATACATTTTCTCATTGAATTTTCTGTATTTCAGTATTTTCATTCCTTTGAACATTTCTATTACTACATTTCTGCTTTACTGTATTATTGTGAATCTGTATTGATATCTAGGATGGGCTGGACCCGATGGCCTTTCTCCTGTAACTCCTGATTCCTTTCCCTTCCTCCTGGTTGCATTCAAAACAGCTCCTTATTTCAGCCATACAACCTGCAGTTTAGACCAGGTTATCTGTCTGAAGCTAAGCTGGTTTGGGCTTGGTCCCTAGTGGGATGGGAGACCAACTAGGAAAGATGAACTGCTACTGAAAAATATGTTGGTGTGGCTGCATAGACCTGTGGTCTATGTGGATCCCAAGGTCCCAGTGATAGGAACATTGTGCTGTAAAATGCGGCTATCCCTCAGATGAGATGTATAACTGGGGACCTGACTCTCTAAAGTCATAAAAGATCCCTGGTACCCCATTGCTCTGGCTAAAACGGTCTACTGTGGCCTTTTCAAATCTGGCCTCCCATTCATCCCCTATATCTCCATTCACCACCTTAGCAACTGTGTTGTGAGTGTACTGGTGCAGAATGGCTGCCGTTGCATCATCCAAGTGGGTGCTACACAGTAGTTACGGTTGAATTATCTCCCCATTTGTTCTGTAAACTGCTTGGGGTGTCTTGCAAAGTGCTATATAAATGTAATGTTCATTTATTCATAAGCAGATTCTGTTTTACATTCTTCATAAAGTGCAAACTACAACAATCATCTTGATATAGTTGGAATGGCCATTTTCTCAAAATCTGAAACAATGAAGGAACTGATGAGTAGTTGGGCTACTTATATATGGCATAATGAATACAATTAAAAGTTTTCACCCTTTAGCTAAAAAAAACCCCACAAGTTCCACATATGTGTCATGCCGCACTCGTCTGCACTAATAGTTCACGTAAGTTAGTTGTTTATTTATTGTTAGTTACTGTAATGTTGTGCTTCTTTGTTTAATTGTCCAGTCTGTGAAGAAGGCATTCAAGTAAGAATTGCATTGTACTCTGTAAATGACAATCAAAACTTTTTCACTGCTAACGGTTTGGATCAGGAGTTGGTTATTGTAAAAGAAGTAATGTGCATGCAGGTGATATTTGTATAGATTTATCTACACCCTTCTGGCAGTGCGGCCATTGCAGTCAGGTCTCACAGACTACGAGGAGTAGAAGTTGTCTGACTTGGCTGAAGTCAGTTTATACTCCACCCCTGCAGCCGCCGGCAGATCTCGCTCCACGTCACGTCAGCTGCAGACAGACCTGCAGAGGAAGCAAAAACGTGGACTGTCCGGGGTTCCCCGAGGACTGGGTTGGGAAACACTGCCCTAGACGAGTAAGGGTTGCCACTTTCAATCTGAAGAAATACCGGATGCCAAGTTTCCAGGGCACTTGACACAAAAAAATTGGTGGCTGAAGTCCCCACCCCCAGGGGCAGATTAACGCACAGGCTAGATATGGCTTAAGCCTAGGGGCCCCACATGTGCCAGCCTGCAAGGGGGCCCACATTGGTGCGGAGGGGGGTGGGGTTGGGGGCCCCACAGACTACTGTAGCCTAGGGGCCTCTGTACACCTTAATCTGCCCCTGCCCACCCCCCAAAATGCAGCCAAGAACTGCCTATGCACTAAACATCAGGAATAGATTTATATGAGCTTAATTCAACCAGTGACCTTTAATTGAATTGCTGCCCACAGCTTCCATGAGGTGTAAGCTAATACTGAGGACTGAAATTATTTCCAGTAAGATATAATGCAAACGGAAATTTTCCTAAATGCATAAATATTTTTGGAATATGACTCAGTCACAATGTCACATTTTGTGGTTTTGGTTCGGTGGCAGCTGTTCTTCCTTTTCGTGAGCCATTTTGTGATGATCTCTGCTCCCGCACGTTATCAGTTGCAGTGGCCACATTACGTATCTAAAGGGAGACGTTATTCTGAACTATTTTATTACATAAAATGCTGTAGTAGTTTGTTAATTTTAGAACTATTGCAACATCGATGCTGACATACTGCATAAAGAATGG